AGATTGAAGACAAATGTTATAACTAGGACAAAGAAAAGAGTGGATTATTGATGTTCTTCTGTGTAGAAGCTGTGCACGTTGTCTGTCCTTTTGCCAGGATGCAACAAGTGAACTTACACTCCATGTGAGAGGGAGCAGAGAGAGTTACCACCTTCAGAAAAGTCTCTCACACAGTACGAGAGGAGAGAGTTAGCCAGAGGAGAGCTCATCTCTCAGACAAAGAGAGAGCAAAACACGGAGCTGACACCTGAACATCAGTCCACGAACGGCCGTCTGCAAACTGCCCGAGTGTTTACCTTAGGTTGTTAGCTTGGTGAGAACTCATCAGTTTATCCTGGCAGGGCCGTCTGGGCAGTGAGTAATAGCCAGCTGAGGTGGCACCAATATGACCGCAAGACCCGACGGCCTAAAAAAAAACCCACTGACTGAAATCACAAGATGTACTTAGATTTATGTACTCAGTTTGAACTCTCACTGGGAGAGACTGCCGAGGACTGAAGCTGTTGAATGAACGCTCACTCCAAGTATCCAAATATCTCAGATTGCAACAACTTAGCATGAGCAAACGGATTGACATATCAGCTCCTTTTGAGACAAGACCAAAAAAAGGTTGGTCCACATGAAGCCTTGAGAGGCCTTCTTCCATTTTTAGGTGAACTACTTTTTTTTTCTTTTTTTTTTTGTCGCCTGTGTAGTGTTTGTCCAAATAAACTCTGATATCATTAAAACAATAAATGGTCAAATGATGCATTAAGATACTGTTTAACACAATGTTCAAAAAAGGTTCCTTCTGTATTTTTAGACATCTAACAATTAACCACATCACTTCAGAGTGAGATCATCTGAAGAATGATCTGCTTTGATTTTATTTTTTTATTGTACATACTTTAACAATTTTGTAGGCAATTCCTGGTTTACACTCTGTGACATGCTTCTCACACACATAGGCCCGAAATACACACAAGCACAAACAGGATCTGTGGACATGCATTAGTGGGCAAATGTCAGAGTGGGGCTGCTACACATGGCTACGCAGAGAGAGCACAAGAGCTGTTGGGGGTTTGGTGTCTTGCTCAAGGGCACATCTGCAGTGCTCAGAAAGTGCCCTGGCATCTCTCCAGCTACCAGACAACTTCCATATTTTGTTCTCCACCGGGACTTGAACCGGCGACCCCTCCAGTTCCTAGCCCAAGTCCCTATAGACTCAGCTACTGCTCACATTCTCTTTCTCTAGCGCTTAACTGATCTACTAATTTATAGGCCCCAGTGTGATGCCTGTAATAGGTTGTGATGTTCTAAAGAACATGTCAGACGTTCTTCCTCAGAGGGATTGTTTGAGCAGATTTACAATAGGAGAAATGACAGAGGAAGAGTTCCCATCACAAACTGGTCCCCGAGAGAGCAAACTGCCAAATAAAAATATGTTAGCAATCATTGAATAACTTATTCTTCTGATTTAAGAGTGAGTTATCCCTGACCTGGGAGCCAGTTTTCTCATAAATAATAAAAAGTGAATGCTATTTTTAAATCATTAGAGTTTTGTATTCCCTCAGTGACTAGCCCCATGAAGTCACACATAGATTTACAACTCTTTTTTTCCCCTGGTTTTGTTTAAAGATATGCTTATCTTCAGCACAGAGGCAGTCAAACATTTTGTCTGGAAAAACACTTGGCCAGACAAACGAGTAAGATTTTCTTTAACTGAGACAACTTTCATGAGTTAAAGATACAATATGTAGATTCCGCCACCAGGGGGCTCTGAATCAGTACAACGGTACAATAGATGAAGTCGAGGCTAGCTGGGAATCATGGAAGTCCTCCCAATATAACTCCCCACGCTGTCACACAAAAACCATGTTGGACACAAAGCTGCTTGCTTGCTTGTACCTCTTTTTTAATGAGGTTGTACAAAGATTGTTTTCCAAGGTTTTCCCTCTGAGGAGAAACAAACCCACTTCCTAAATGTCCTCTCTTGTCTCCTCACCGCTCGCAGTGTGAATGACACTAACACCAGCTGCCAGCCGTCATCCTGCTCAGCCCAAAGCACATAAAAGACGAGTCAGTGATGGGACATTACGGTAAAAATAGAATTATATTGGCTGAAAGTAACACAAATGGCATGATATGATTGTAGTGAGCCAGTGAGTCCCTCTGCAGGGTTTGTCTTTGAGATGGTATCCAACTTAAAGCAGAAATTTAACATTTTTATCTCGTTGTGAAGGTTAACAATTATATTTGTACTTTTACATTAGAGCCCCTTCCCCTTTTGTGTTCAATCATTTGCTCAATTTGACTTTTATTTAAGGGGAGTTGAAACTCTGGAAATGAATAATTTCCTGGCATTAGCAGAAACCTTAGAACTGGATATTTGACCCCCCCCAAAAAAAAAAAAAACAGACTGGGTACATCGTAAACCGTGCAAGTAAACAGATTATAGTTTCTCTTCTGACATTTTTTTGGACAAAATAAGTTTCTGAAAATTGGCTCCTTCTTGATTTTGACTGGTCGATAATGGAAAAGTGTAACGCTGTGAGCGCAGCAACAAAAAACCTGACGCTGAGATCGTTTAAGGGCTCAGAACAAAACACTGAAAACACTGACCCGCTGAAGGTCTCAGACTTGTTTTAATATTACTTGTGCTTCTATTAGAAAAAACACTCTCATTCATTTGGTCATTGATGTGCTTAATCTATGGAGCTATTATTTATGCAAAACTATTCCTAAATGCATAAACAGACCTGCATTTACATTGTCATTTGTGGAACTACTCATTTGCAACAAAATGAGCTCAATCCATATGAATCTTTCCAACTCCTTTAAAATCAGTAAAACCTGAGGTGACAATCAATCTCAGTTTCCTGGGTGTTGTAGTAATTCTTCACACTGTAGTGTCTCTGTGTGTCTGTAAAGATCTGATCAATTACAACATTTACCTCTTTGCAAATGTCCTGGAATGTGTTGAACATAACAGTGTGAGAGCATGCAGGCTGATATTTACTTTAAGTGGGCAGGACGGAGTGTATGTTATGCAAACTTTCCCACCCGAGAGGCCGAGCTGCTCACTCGGCTTAAACAATCTCCCTGGTGGGGGTTAAACGTCAGCGTGTGCAGCTGAGGAATTACCCTCAAACATCAGAACAGTGACCCATGAAGGAGGGACCTTGTGCTTGTAGTTGCATCTTTTTTAAGTCTTAGCCGGTCTGTGCTGAGTGTGCGTTTGATGCGTGGCCCAGCGAGCGGTGTGTCTCATCACTGACCCGGCGGAGTGAGTCACTCTGCCAGCCCAGTCAGTGCATTGGTGATGAGCTCATGTAATGGATCCTATTTTTAGCGGAGCCTCTACTGTGCTGCCCGGTTTACTTTGAAGATCCCTCCGACAAACATCTGAAGTGGTTCACTTTAAATTCTTCTAATCCACACACCCCATGCCCTGAAATATGAATGTTCAAAAAAAAAGTAAGGAAACAGAAATAGTTAGTTCATGAAAAGCATCCATCAAATCTGATTGTTTTGTATTGCTGCTCATATCCTGACAAGCACGTCATGGGTAAACACACGAGGTAAATATGTTTTCAACAAAAAAATGTCACCGAGACAAATTAGTTGCACTTGACAAAGGAAAAGCTTTTAGCAAACAATTCCCTTTACATTAAGTACACACACACACACACACACACACACACACACACACACACACACACACACAGTAACATCACAGCCTAATGAATGTGTGTATAATATTTACAACTCCTCTTGAGTAACGTTTCCACTGCAGAAACTCTCCACAGGAACGAGGGATTAGGAACTTTCAAGAGAGAACATGATCATGTAACTCATCCCGGCCATATTGTTCCACATGTTTAAATCTTATGAGCAGTCATTGTGCTACACTATAGGCCTTCGTCATTGTAAGATCACAGTCAAAAAAAAACCCCAAAAAACCACTTGTATAATTGTCTTTACTGATTGTGTTAAGGTAACAGGTCAAAGTTTCTCCTCCTGTTGATGATCTGCTTATCTTCACAAAAGTTTGGCTTTCTTTGGATTTCCTTGTTTCTAAGAAAAGATTTTCCTGGCAGAAGGAGGTGACCTGCAGAGCTTTTAAAATCTTTTTATTGTTCCAAGTTTCCAGCTCTCAGCAGAAAAAAAGTCCTGATAGCAGATAGAAGCTTTGTAGATAGACAGTTTATAGATCTCACAGGTCAAGCCCGTTTATTTTCCCTGACAAACTGTGCCAGGAACTGCTTGATTAAGACTACTAGGACTATGGCACTGTAATAAAACACACACACACACACACACACACACACACACACACACACACACCTATACCTAGACACTTTGAAACCCTCACACAAACTTTGTTCGTTATAAACGCACCGGACTAGAAAAACAAACAAAACTGTACAGAAGCATAAAAACATTGGTAAACCTAAAATACACATTCACAGGCAAACATTATACATACACACACACACACACACACACACACACACACACACACACACACACACACACACACACACACACACACACACACACACACTGAATCTTGCTTATCAATGCACCTTATTACTTCCTGACTGACCTTTGTATAACTGCCTATTGATAAAGCATTAGTCATGCATGGGAATGCAGTGGTATACACACACACACACACACACACACACACACACACACACACACACACACACACACACACAATGTGAACAATGAGTGAATGTGTTTAATTTGTGCAGAAATGCTAAACTGGGATTTTCAACTGTTGTGTGCGTAGCTTAGGTTTTGATTTGTGGCTGTTTCAACAGGGCGCTGCTGCAGTGATGTAAATGCACGTCTGTGACCTAAATCCTCCCAGCTCGTATCGATGCTGTTTAACAGAAACAAACATTAAGGTTAATGGGAGCGGGGCTGTGATTCTCTGAGAGTTCACCTTGTGTACACAGGACTTGATGTCACTTTTAATGGCAACCTTTAATAAAGATTTATTGGATTTTCAGTTCACAAACAAGTCCTCGGAGGCAGAGCTGCTCTGCACGCAGAACACATCTTTCTGGTCTGGTTTAACCTCACAGAGAGGAGCTGAGGAAGCAGCGGAGTATCAGCTGAGTAAGTGCTGGACAACCGGAACATTTGATCAAAATGACAAATCAACTTCATTTAAAAGATCACTCTCGTAAATAATCAAGAACTGCATACTACTTTGTGGTTGATATGCATTTAGATCTTTGGGTTGGGGACATTTGATTGGATAAAAAAAGCATGATGTACGATTGAAAAAATGATCAACTGATTCATTGATTCATGAAATAATCATTTGTTTAAAAGGGGGAGCTCATAGTGTAAATGAAAGTAAAATTGCAACCTATGGCTATCTTAAGTTTGGCTTAACATTTTTTTCTTTTGTCAAGTCAGACTGTCAGACTGTGTTTGCAGCGTTTTTGCAGCTCTTTCAATGGCACATCTAAATCTTTCATCTTTTTTTATGACTCTGTAAATAGTCCACTGTTGCCTTCAGTCCATGTGGCCAGTGTTCTTTCCCATCGAGTGACCTCCTGGTCGCTGATAAATAAGGACTGTTCACAATTGATGCATGGGATGTTGTTAAGGCAAAATAAATCCCCCAAGGGAGCAGGTCAGGGTGGATGGATTGTCCTATGATGCAAGTCATTCATATGACTTTTTAAAACCTACTTTTTCATCTAAAAAGTTGTGCTGCGTCCTTTACCAGTGCGACAAACATATCTGGATTAAATGCTGACATGCATCGAAGTGCAGCCGACTCCATCACCTACTGCACGTGACCTGGTGCAATTTGAAAAATCAACCCCATTTTAATGTGTAATACAAGCGGCTGCTTCGCTATGCAGAGCATGCTGGGATACATAGTAACACAGACCAGGCTGGCGGCTTTTCTCTTTTAAGAAGTTTTCTTCTCTGAAGTTATATTTTACTTGCAGATGTCAGTAACAGACAATGATACATTATGTGGTTGGATATTGTTTCCTGAATAATTGTAACACAGCTGGTGTGGTGATAAGGTCAAAAGTCGACCGCAGATTCCGAGGATTACTGCCATCAGACTTGTAATTTAGATGTCCTTCATTTGTTCTAGACTGGTACACGCTGTTGCAAGAAAAAAAAACACAGGAGGTTGTTTATTATTTAGTCACCGAGTTTGAAGTTTTGGAGTCAATTTAACCAGGCTGAGCTGCAGTGTTACAGAGGGGACAGTTTGGGGGGAGCAGCTCTGGCCTTGTAAAATTTGGAGGTTAAATAATGTAACAACAAGAAGCTGCATTGTTCAGCTGTGTTAGAAATGAAGGTCTGTGTTCTGGGAGTCTTCTTTAGTCTTTTCTTTAGTACTTCAAAAGGAACTGAAAGGTTTTATTATCCTTGAATCTATTTTCTCTTATGTTTTGCACATTTCATTTTCAAGGCCCAAAGACACTCTTTTTGTTTTTTAAAAACAAACATGTATCTTCATATGATAAAGGTTTAAACCTTAATAATCAGGTTTCAGAAACAAAAGGGATCACTTATATGTTACAACAGCCAACATAGATGTTTACATCCTGGTTAGATAAAGGTAAAAACAATGATTTTAATAACTTAATCCTGTGTGGAACCAGATTATTTATAATCCCAGTCCTGAATACATTTTTTCCGGTTGACCACGAGCCGTTTATTGACGCCTCTGAGTGTTGTGATTTGAGTCAGCAGCTCGTCAATACAAAGCAAAGTTTGTCTACCTTTAGTTCAAAAGCACTGGATGAAGTAGGCCTACTATTCTTGGTAAAGATTTATTTTATTATTTTCTAATGTCCTCTGTGTGTCTCTCTTTTCCCCCCTTGTCATGTTGCTTTTGATGTCTTGTTTGAAGCACTTTGAATGGGCCTTGTCGCTGTAATGTGTTAAACACATCAATAGCCTCGTTGTGCCTTCATAAGACAATCTGCTGTTTAGTTCATTAAGGTAGTAGCCAGAGGTTACTGGTTATTTTCCTAATAACTGCGACACAATTTTTATAGTACTGAAGCAGTTTTGTTTTTGCTTGTAGCGCCCCCCTTAGGCCTGAAACCTGCACCAACGTTTGAGATTTACTGTTCGCCGCCAGGGACAATGAAGCGGAGGCCATGAAAGGTTAATGATAACACGAGGAATTCATGTAAAACTCTGTGTGCTCATTTGAAGTCAACAAGATTTATGACATCATCGAGACTTTCAGGAGTGCTCTCTTGCATTTATTATCATCAGTTCTGTCCCGCTTTTTTCTTCTTTTACTCTCTTTTATCTGTTTCCTTTTAAATGTTGTACCAACTAAGCAGCGACATTCCCTAACTTTTATATCCTTGTCCCGATGTTTTAAAGCAGCTGTTTTTAATGTGCATTTCATCATCGCCTCCTGTGTGTGTGTGTGTGTGTGTGTGTGTGTGTGTGTGTGTGTGTGTGTGTGTGTCCTCGGCGACAGGAGTTTATTAAGTTGTGAGTCACTTTCCCTCTAGCTGATCTTTGGAAAGTCCAGCAGGTTTTTGATGGTATTTGTAATGAAATCCTCGCTGAGTCCTCGTGCAGAGTGACACTCCTGAAAGTTCCTGTGGACATTTATTACAGATAAGGAGACGGACTGAAAGACGGGCACAGAGGACACTCCTTCAGTGTAGAAAGGTCACTTTCTGATGACTGCTCAGAGCTCATGGGACCGCTCCTTATTGCTTGTCTTATTGAGTGTTATGACATTCAGTTCAAGCCAATATCTGAACCAAATACCAGCCAACGTTTAATCTCCACTCAAGGCTTTTTCTTCTCTCTGAACAGAGTGGGCTGCGCTAAAGGTTTGGGTGGGTTTCTGTCCTCTAGTAAGACATCAGTTTTAGGGTTTGAACTAATCATTTCTCATTAATGACATCTGCACACATTTTTAAGATTAATCCAGGAGACATTCTTACAAAAAATATATCAAAAAATGTATTTTTAAACTTCACACAGTGCTGCTTTAACATTAAGAGCGTGTTCTTTTTTTTACCAACAGCCCCAAAAACAAATGGTACTGACAAATAACAATAAATAGTAGAAAAGTCTCTCATGGAGAGGTCACAACATGTTAATCAGTTTTATTCTACTTTCTCCTTGGATGATTTTTTTTAATAGAATATCTTTATTGTCCTCGTCATTGTACAAGGTACCCTGCGTTTGAGTGTGCAGCTCGCCATCATTGCAACATTAAAAGAAGTACAACTGTGATGAATAAAAACTACACAGTGATGAATAAAAAAAAAAAAAAAACAGCTAGCGGTAGATCTGACGTCCGTCATGAGCAATAGTGAAAAACGATTATCCAGCATCAATGCTGTAGCAGATCATTTTATGTAAATCAAGTCATCAATAATAATTGCTTGAAGTATTAAGGAGGCCTATAAGTGTTTCAATGAATGGAAAAAGTTGTCTATTCTATGCTATCATAGCCAAATTTAAGAGACATGGTAAAATAGTAAATGGGCTTGTATAAGACTTTTCTTGTCTTCTGACTACTCAAACGATTTACACCGCGTGCCACACCTACCCATTCACACACTGATGGCAAAGGTTGATATGTGTGAGTACTGTTTGAGAGCATTCTGCTTTCTTATATTTGTGGCTCTCCTTAGGGGAAGGTCGCCGAATCTCGTGCAAAAACAACCCTGTAAGTTGACAGGAAGTGACATAACTTTGTGCAGGATCATTTCAAGTTCAACCAATTCATAAAAAGGCAGAGGAAGTGAAAAATGAAGACCAAAACGCTCTGTCCTTAGTTTTTAAAACAGAACTCTGCATAGCTGCTTCCTGGTTTAGCTTTAACTCGCTGCACTTCGTGTGGCTGCTCAGACCGTCTAACAGAGCAAAGAATTTTAAAAATAGCATCGCAGGAGTGATCCTCATCAGTTTTGATTCAAAGAGGTATAGTTCAGCTCTGTGGATTGTACACGAGCATTGCTGAATGAACCTGGTTGCTTCACCTGTTGGACGTCTGTGAAGCTGTGTCTTTTGATGTCACAACATCTTCACATCTCAGGAATGGAACTGGTGAGTAAAAAGTTGCAACACTGAGGGGAACGACATGCAGGTGCATTTGAGAGGTTAAACATCAGGTTTCCTTTGTCTTGAATTTATTCCAGTCAGAGGTTTTGAACTGTGACCATGCTGATATTTAGCAGGGACATTCAGTCTATGAGATACCAGTGTCAGCTAAAACTGCAATCGATAATGTGATGCAACAGAGGGTCAAATATCTCTCTGCGAGGGCCAAAAGGTCCTTTTCTTCTTGTCTTTGTTTCTTTTTCTTTTAAACATTTTGTCTCCTTTGACATTTCATCTCTGTACCCTTTTTTTTCTACCTTCACTTCTTCTCATTCTTACATTGATTGCTCTTGCTCCCTGTTACTGTCTTTTTTTGCTACCCTGTCCACCATTGCAACACACATGAATGATTCAAGGCATCGTCCCAAGTCCTTGATCAATACCTTAATGAACCTTAAGTAGCAGTTTGGGCTGTGTATGCAAATGCAAATGACTGAGAAGCCCTGTTGGACTCCATCAGTGGAGAGTAAATAGGCTATCTTTGCTGCAGAGTGTTCCTGCATGTGTACCCAGAGACTGCAGGATGTTCATTATTATCAGTTTGGCAAATTGGGCGTAACGCTGTGACTGCAGGATTATCCCAGCCATCCGCGTGTAGAGCGATACTGAAACAGGCATGGGGAAGGAAAAGAGGGGCTGATTCCAACACAGGAGGGGAGGCATCCATCTTGCTTTTGAGAGACAAGAGCCCCGAGACTGCCATCAAACTCAAATTAGCATTTAAATTAAATTGAAAAAATTCATCAAGAGGGATAGAAGAAGTGTGTGTGCCCTGGCGTCCTATGGTTGCAGGAGAATGCCGTATCCCTAGCCAGCCACCCACCCAGCTCCTCTCTCTCTCTCTCTCTCTCTCTCTCTCTCTCTCTCTCAAAGTGAAGTATTTCCTCGCCTGCAGAGCTGCAGAGTTGGCAGCAGGATTGCAATTCACCAACAACAACAGACAGATAGACAGACAGACTAGATTACGGCTGTCAAATAAAAACCAAACAGAG